TCTTCCTTTTTTCCTTCTTCCTTTTTTCCTTTTTCTCCTTTTCCTTTACATAAAGTTTTCTTACTCCTCTTTTAGGATATCATAATCAGAAATTGCAACAAAAGTCCCCCTGAAAGTGAACGCGCTTACAAAAAAATCTCACTTTTTTTCTTTTCTTTCTTTCTTTCCTGAGCCCCACTTACTAGCACATCACGATTTGGTTCCTTGTATGTATCAGGAAATAAGGTCTGTGATAGTGCGTAACAGTCAAGACCGCAACAAAGGCAGGGAAACACTCCTCAGCAATTTAAAGAAACTGAGTAAATGTTTGGGCAATATTTTTTGCTCTCTGAATGGAGGAGGGAAATGTCGCCGGGCACATTTCCACTGACGTTATAGACAACGTCCTTCACACCACGCATGGAATCATCCCATTGCTAAGGAGAGACTAAAACCTCTCACTTTTACTTTTGCACGAGTAACTCAGGACTCCACCCTGAGATACTTAATTTATTTTTTTTTAAGTATCCTTTTTCCTCCCCTCTGACTTAAAAAATGCAAAATGAAAGACCACGGCATTAAAATTAATGATGCATCCTCTACTCCAAACTGGCCATTCTGAAGCTGTGCTTCAGAACTGGAAATAGAAACGCTGTTTAGAAAAAGCTCAGCTTTCTATTAAAAAAAAAAGTCAATTTCAACTAAATCTCATCCTTTTTTCTGGGCAAAATTTCTATCAAAAAAAGTTCAAACAGTTGTAATACGTTGACCTACCGCAGCGCGATCCTTAGTCCATCCCTGGGGGGTTTTGTTGTTTCTTAACGCGAACAAACGGAAGATGACCTCTGGTACGGGATCAGGTGTGGGCACCAAGGACCAAGATCTCCCTTTTCTGCTCTTCGTGCTCTTAAGCCCACCCCTGGCTTTTTATCCGCATGCCACACCTAGAGTTGCAGCCTGGCGTCGCCCGCCCCAGGGCAGCGATTTATCTTGAATCCTTCCTGCAAAAAAATCACAAGGAAAAAAGAAAACACTGGGAGGGTTAATGGCGATGTGGCACAACCCTAGGGTGCGAGTATCAGAAAGGTGACAAGAGAGAGTCACCGAGGTGTCTACGTGGAGAGCCTGCTGGCTCAAAACAATCCCCTCCAACCACGCAGAAGAGGGGGTATTAATTCAGCCCGCCTAAAATCTGGAACAATCAAGCTTCTAAGTCCAATAAGCAGCCACAACTGGGCTGGGAAAGTTCTTTCAGTAAGAATTTCAGGGCATGTCTTTGGGTGACCCAATGGTCTCTTGTTTCATACAACTCGTCTTGCTTGTTCTTGTTTCGTAGGACTTTACTCTTCCTGAGTTTTTTTGGGAGGTGGTTGAGTCGCCATCCCTGGATGTGTTCAAGTGTCGTTTAGATGTGGTGTTGGGTGATGTGGTTTAGGGGTGACCTTGTAGTGTAGGGTTAATGTTTGGACTTGATGATCCCAAGGGTCTTTTCCAACCTGAATTGTTCTAGGATTCTATGATTCCATGATTCTCTCTGTCGTGCCAAAGCTCAGAATCCTACAGCAATGAAAAATGAGAAGGGTGCACCAGATCAATAATTGAGGTTGTAAAACAAGCAATACCCTCCAAATGGAGGACGTGGGGCTCTAGGAACAGCACAATAACATACGACCGTCAGTGGCTGTAGGTGTAAAGGGAGTGGCACGAATTCACCAAGAGCAGCAAATTCAGTGCTTTCTACTACTCTTTCGAAAGAAGAGTTGTACCCAGATTTGAAGAGCACAATCCTGAGCTCCTGCTCTTGAAAGAGAGGCTGGGTGTATCTCCCAATGTTATAAGCGTTACACTGTACCCCAAAACATTTGCATTAAGCCAAGAAATAAGCAGAGGAGCCCAGCCAAGTGGAAGAGCTTGGGCTTCTTTTAAGTGATAGAATGCGTTGGGTTCAAAGGGACCTTTAAAGATAGAGCCTTGCTCACTTTTCTGGCTGTCTCCCCTTTAACTGATGTATGTTAGCCACGTAGCATCTGTTCTGAAAGACAGAGAATAAACAAGAATATCAAAGTTAATAATATTAATAATAAACAATAAGACTATGGACAACAACAATAATAATAACAAAAAGAACTACAATGAAAATAAGTGGTCTATGCAGTCCAGATTATTGATTTGTATCCACTTTTCAATGGCCAACATGTTTAATCCTTTTTTCTTCTGTTTTTCTTTTTCAGTATGTCGCAATGGAGTCAAGTTCAACAACTGGAAATCAAGTTTTTGGAGCAGGTAGACCAGTTCTATGATGATAACTTCCCCATGGAAATCCGCCATCTCCTAGCACAATGGATAGAAAGCCAAGACTGGTAGGATTAAATTTCTTCCCTCTTGTATGATTTCAGTCATGAACAATTCTTTCGTTTTCTGGCCCATTTTAGGATGCTCACTTGTGAACTGTGCAGGCACCTGCACTCCAAGAATAGTATTCCACTAGTTATTATGGATTTCACTTGCTGAACCAAGTTTAAATTTAAGGAGCGCCTGGAGGCGAGGTTTCATTTGAACTTATTCCTAAACAAAAGCCAATAAAAATTGTCGAGTAAACTAATGGCATTACAGGTTTTTCTTTGGAAAAAAAAAATGCAAGTTAGTTCTCAGTTATGTTACACGTTTGCTTCTCGCAGCGTAAAATTATTCATTTGTTCAAAACCACACTTAAAACTGGATATATAACTTTGGGGGACAAGCCAGCTATTTGCAGGAACTGTTCGCTAGAAGGTGAATTTATGCGTAAATTTGGATTGAATTCACACGGTAGTTATCTTAAGAAAATCCAGAACTAAATGCCAAAAAAAACGTTTGTAATAGTCGTACCAGAAAGAGGCATCTTCATTTTTCAGGCTAAATCCACAAGACTACTGGAAAAAAAAAATAATAAATCTGCTAAGGAATATAATCTTTCTTTACAGTTTATAGCTCAGTGTTTGTAGGGATGTAGGAACACGGGACACATTAAAATCTCCTTTTCACCAATTTTTAGCAGACATATCTCAAACAGGGATCTGCCATTTTTGGTGGGGCAAGAAGAGAATATCCCAAGGACACTATGCGGTCAAAAAAAAAAAAAAATCTCTTCCTCTATTTTGCTGGTTAATGTTATTGCCCTTCACGTACCAAGCTGTTCCATAAACAGCAAAACCAGCAAAGCCTGGCTTTGTGTGTGTGCTTGTGTCCCTTGTCCCCTACGTACCCTTCACCAGTAGCTTCAGAGTCGTCCTGTATCCCCAAATAAGTTTGGCCGGGCAAAGGCTCATCTGGTGCCTGGTGTGAAGATCTCTGTCTGCTGGCTGGCCATCTGGCTGGTGCCTCCTGGAGCAAGTTATTACTGCCGTTTTCCTCAGCGGAGGCACTAATTTGGATTCCTCTCCTCTCCCAACCTGCCAGTTTTCCGTGCAATTTGTAAGAAGATACTATCTTTTGGACTTCGAGCCCAGCATCGACTTTGTTTGAAACTGGGCAGCAAATTTAGAAATTATATCCGTGTGACTGACAGCGTGAGAGGGACGGTATGTTCTAGCCCCATTTCCTCTGAGAAGTGGGCTAAAAATATTTAAATATTCACTGGACCAGAAACTAGAAAACCCTGGTTGTCTCCCCTCTGGCTGACTCCACAGCCTGTGCCAAGAACAACCTCACAGGTCTTTATAGCTGCATATCTACATGACACAAATAAAAGGATCGTAAAATCAGTTATTCACAAGCCTCTAACTACATGCAAATCACCGCATATTTAAAACAGTTCTTTTTCCTGCCTAGATTTTGGAATGGATTAAAGTTTTCTCTACAGACAGATTGACACCTCTTACGATGTTGTAAACGCGCGGGGTTTTCCCTTCCTTGATTCTCTAGGGAGGCCGCGTCCAACAACGAAGCGATGGCCACGATCCTTTTGCAGAATTTGCTAATACAAGTGGACGAACAGCTGGACCGCGTTTCACAGGAGAAGAATCTTCTCTTGATACACAACCTGAAAAGAATCAGGAAGCTGCTGCAGGTGGGTCCTTCGCTTCGGATGACAACTTCCGTGCTCCTCCTGGTCTCTAAAGGCAGTGCCCAACCTCTCTTGGGCATCAATCCTTCCTGGGCTGTCCCGATTGCTCTAGGCAACAAGCAGTGATGGGAAGACCAAGCCTTCGAAAAGATAATTCAAAATAGTAATTCCCTTGCCTGTCACTCTGTGAAACAATAATTCCCATGTTAATGCACGCTGCGCAGGTACGAGTGCTGCGACTGCTTAGCTCTGCATGCATCTGCGTTTCACCGAGCTCTTAAAAATAAGACTGGGTAGTGCTTGTGGGTGTTCATGGTTATTACAAAAGTAATTAGCACCTTTCAGATATGTGGAGGTAGAATAAAAAGGCATATTTGGGGCTTAAAGCAGCACCCTGAGAAAGGAACCCCCATAAATCATTAGCGTGTTTGCTGTCTTGTGCTTAGCTGGGATTATGTGTTATGAATGGCTTAAAGGATTTCCCATTAGGCTTCTGCAAAATGATGTTTATTTGGATCGTCTGAATGTTTCTCTGCTAATTGTTTATCTAAAGGCAAGGATTCTCAGAGTTCCACTTCATTAGTCACCTACTTCCTGATATCTGTCTTCTGCATAAAACAGATATACATCTGAGTTTAATGAAAGTTTGGGGTTTTTTTCCTCTTCTTTGATGGTGTTTTCCATAAGTACTTAAATGACAATTATGTTGCTTGCAAAACATTTTCTTTATATGAGATAGATACAGATATATACATACCCGTCTGGAAAATCTTAGCCTGACCCTGCCAAATATTTTGTTCTCTTTATGGCTACGTGTCTTTCTGTTCTTCATCCCTAGCGGTGGCCTCTTAAAATTATGACAATATTTCCATCACTCCCACTTTTCTTCCCATGTTATGCAGGGAGTCGCATGTAATTTAAAACCAAATTTGCTTTTTGTTTCTTACCTGGTTTGCGTAGCAGCGCTATCCATCACGTCAGTACTGCTCAAACACAAAAGCAATTAAGTACATTTGGGAGTTAACTCTAGAGAAGTTAATCCTGTTATTTCTGCCATTTTCTTCAAGGCAGAGCTGTATCCCTTCCATAAATGGTGGAATCCATGTGGAAAGAGCATTTCAGGCCACCAAAGAAAGCAGTTGCATTTGTGCATTCCTGACTTAAAAGATTGCGCATTGCTGGTTATATGTGCACGTGCAGAAGGACTGGTGTATATTTACGTACAAGGCTCCACACAAAATTAAAATCGCTCACTGTTCCTTCTTCTCTTCACACCGTTTCTTTTATTCTAAAACTTTCACCAAAACTTGAAGTGGCTCTGTGAAATCTGGCATACGGAGGCAAGTAAGCACACCTTGGGCACGCGCACACACACGCAGAGTTTACATAATCGCCGGTGCAAAAATGGCCAGAGTGAAAACCATTTCCCAAAGAGCACAAAGCAAAGGAGCCCTATTCCAGAAAAGCAAGAGGAGTGTTGTAAGGGATTTCTCACTCAGCGCTTTCTCAGGTGGCAAGGATCTGAGTCACGATTCCAGAACGAGCCGAAACAACCGCAGAGCCGGGTTAGAGTCCCCGTGTGCTAGTTACAGTGGCAGCAGAGTCAGCACCAGGGCTGGGCTTTTCCTTCTCTAGTTAAAGCATCGGTAAAGGTCCGTGCGGGGTAGCCTAACCCGTCGTTTCACTGGATCGCTGGCTCTGGAAGGAAACGCCACCCAAGTCACAACGTGCACCAGCTTCCCTTCTCGGTCACTCTAAATCCCTGACTCAGCAAGCTGGCTCAAGCAGAGAGGTCCCTCTGCTCCCTTGGGTTGCAAAGGTCTGTAGGTCTGCGGTCTGAAACGTTGTGAGCTTCTCGAGAGGGCGCGTGTGATGCTGGAGTTATACTGCTTCTTGAAAAGGATCTCAGGTGTGAGCTTCAGAGTAAAATGCTCCCAGCTGAGACAAAAAAAACAAAACAATCCACAACAGTACTCCCCATCACTAGTAACGCTGGCCTTTCTCTGTTATGCCAAGAGAGCAGATAACCTGCATTTAGATAAAAATTTCCTCATTCAGTTTCAAAACACACATGTGAACCCCCAGACACTGAATGCCACTTGCACTCTTAGAGTTTTCCCTGATTTCTTGTGACTTTTAGCACTATCACCCACAGTCTCTTCTGATTTCCAAAATAATTTTGATAGGCTAGACTAGGACCAGACTCCTTCAATGGGCAGTAGCAATATTATTACTACTATTACTATTCTGCGTAAGGCAAATAACTTACAGATTCCTTAAGGCGTAGTTTGATAGAGATATTTTGGATTTTTGTGTAAACTATCACGTTACAATTTCTAATTATTAGAACATAGATGATAAATGCAGCTGGAGTGCGGACTACAAGTTTTATAGAGCTGCACAGTCTCCTGAGCTTCAGCTGTTAAAATTTTCCTTTATTGCTTAGATAAGTACGTCAGTTAAAAAGTAACGCTATAGGAGTTGTAACTGGCTGACACCCTATCCCTCTTACTAACTGTCAAGTATTGTTCATGGACTACAAGCTGTGCATGATCCATAGTACGGGCAGTATCTGCTGTAACATCCTTACATTTGAGTATGCAAATTATGTAATTATGAGTCTAATTTTTCTAGTGCACCGCTGGCTGCATTTTGTTGCTGAGTACGTGAGATGTTTGGAACTGGGCATCTATCTCCCCCCCACAGCTGGATGCACTTGCAAATACCTGACTCTTGCAATCTGAGCTCGTTTGTGATGGTTTCGCGAGATGCCGCCAGGAAAAGGTGACCAACGTCCGTGGCACAGTGCTGTGGTTCCTTTTGTCCCAATATATCACCTGAAAAAAGGGAGACTGGAAGGGTACACTGTAAAACCAGCCAGATTTTTCACCAGCTCTGATGGAGGAAAGGCCAGGTTCCTAAACAGCAGGGGAGGCTGCCCTTGTAAACATCATTTCTGGTGATTGTGAACCGTGTTGGTTTGATTTTCGCCAAAGGGCAGTTACCAGGAGCCCACCTTGATCTCTGCTTTGCTCTCTAGCGCAAGTAATTCTTTGAAATTTCACAGTTCACTCCTCTTCCTTCCCCTCCGTACCACGCACCCAGACCCAGACACGCGGACAGCGTGTGCGCACACGCACAGAGCTGTTCGACCTCGCTGCACGATCCGAGTGCAACGTTTGTTCATTGTTTTGAGCCAAATTGTGCTCCAATAGTAAGGAAAGCCTGTCAAACCAGATAATGCTGCAAACCAGCAGTAAGTAGGCAGAGTAGCATGTTGAGCCGTGGCATAGATTCCTAAATACTGCGACAATAGCAATAATAAAGTATTTAGAACTAGAGAACATGCATGAGCCCTTCAAAAAAAAAAGCAATCTGGAGTTCCTGACAAAAGGTAAAATGAGGGACTAGCGTTTAATTAGAAATATAACGAGGTTGCTAATGAAGAGCAGCCTCAGAAGAGGAAGCAAGGCACACTTTACAAATTGCTTGTGCAGCTGTTTGCCTGAAAGCAAAGGAGCCATTAGGCTCAAGAGTACTGGTGCTGATCCTGAATCTAGAGAGAGTTAAACCTACGCGTTACCACCACTACAGCCAAGGTCTGTGAAAGGTCTCCTCAGGGTTCATCTTCATCATAGAATGCAGAGAACATTCTGTTCTGAGCTTCACCTGAAACATCTTAATGCAAACATCTTGGTTGCTCCCTGAAAACAAGGATGGAAGTAGTGGAAGAAGTGAGAACTTGCCTCCCTCATCCTCGCAAGACAAAGCAATCTGGGGCATTTTGAAGGGCAAAGAGTAGACGTCTTAGTAGGAAGGTGAGTCTGCCTGGCACCCTTGCTTTTAGGCAGAGACCATCCCTCACTGTCAGAGAAATAACTATGGAGCGTGGCGTGTCTGCCCAGACCACTGGCATTCCAAAATTACCTTGAGGCAAAAAGAAACGCTGACCAGGAAACTTGCAATTTGACCAAGTAATAAGCACTTGAAAATAGTGCTGAGGAACTTAGCTAAGCGGCCGAGGTTACTGCCAGCTCTCGGGAGTTTGCTTTTCTATCTATTTCTTCCTTTCATTGAAATATGACTTCTTGACATTAATCTGCTATAAGTGCACATACATTAAAACCGGAGTCAGCATGTTAGGTTAAAATCCATCATATTTACTTCTTACGTTATTATTGCTTCTCTAGTCAGTAAACTGGATTCCTTTTTACAGCAGAGCAGCCTTTTGTTGCTGTGCTCTTTGGTGGGAGACAGTACAAGTGCAGTCACTTGCTAAGCCTGAATTCTCTGTTCACCTTCCTACAGAAGTGCTCCCCGCCAGCAACAGTTGCGGAAAGGGATGAGGAGAGAAAATGTTTGGAGACAGGGGGGGAAAAAAGGAGGGGAAAGTATATCTATGGATCTTTCTCCTGCTTAAAACCTAGATGGAGAAAAGCAGATTAGTCACAAGGAGATGGTTTGTGCTGTTGCCATGACAACAAAACGTGAAGCCTCTCTCTGAAGAGCTGCCTCACATTTCTAGGAACCAAACTGCGGGTGCAACAGTCTACACACCATTAGCTCAGGAGCAGTGACATCCTAGTTTTCAGCGGGAATGTTCTTAAATGACAGCCTGCCTGGCCCCGACGGGAGCTCCTGTGCAGCACACGAGAAGATATAAGTGCACAAACACAACTGGTGAAATATAGATGCTCCGGTAAGACAGGCACTCTCCATTTTCCTGACCCACATGCCAAAATCTTTGGGGTTAGAGGCAGGCTTGGAGTTACCTGGGAATTGGAGGCAGCCACCATAGCCCGGTGTCCCACCGCTCTGTTTGGGAACGGTGCTGGTGGACGATTGCCTGTGGGTCCGAGTGACGCTCATCTCAGGGATGTTCTTCCCCCCACACACGCTCCAAGCTGGGAATTCGGAGCACTCAGCTCCGTGGGATGCAGCCCAGCCCACGCGTGGGCTCGGGTGAGCTCCCAAGGACTGAAAACCCACCGGCTGGGCTGTGC